AGCCTTTGAGTTCTCAACTCATTCTCAGTGTTCATAGTACTTTTTCGTGGTACTTTTCACTAAAGTACAACAATCTAAATACTAGGGCTGCAACAACGAATTGATAAAATCGCTAAAAGTCGAGTAAAGGAAGCGTGTTGTGCTCTGGCGCCCCCTGTGGACTGAAGCGGTGTTGCCTCTGAGCACCAGGGTCCCTTCAGAACGTCTCATTTAACAGGAAAACAGAAACACTTTGTTGCTCCTCATTTGTAGCCGATTCTGATTGGTTGAAAAGAGGCGTGTTGTTAAAATGTTGAAGTGGTTTTATATTAGAGTGACATTAATGAACGTGCACTAACCCACTAATCGCTGCACGACGCTGGCAGGTGACTCGTCTCCAGTACCTGAACGCTCTCATGGCGTCGCGGGTCGGTCACAGTCCAGATCCTCCAGAGATTAAGATCCTGCCCAACAGTCAGACCAAGCTGCTCAACGACAGAAACTCACAGCCAGGTACGTTTCTCCACCGTCCTCCTGGAACCAACACCAGCGACAACGTGTCCACCAAACCGCTGTGAATCAGGACGCAGGTCTTTTATTCTACGATTTCCTCTCTTTATAAAGGAAAGCTTAGTGGACTTAAAATATGAAGCGTGCATGTTAGAGAGCTGTCAATCACAGTAAGCCCCGCCCTAAAGCATCACCTGCTTCATGGTCTGTTAGAGAGCTGTCAATCACAGTAAGCCCCGCCCTAAAGCATCACCTGCGTCATGGTCTGTTAGAGAGCTGTCAATCACTTTAAGCCCCGCCCTAAAGCATCACCTGCATCATGGTCTGTTAGAGAGCTGTCAATCACTTTAAGCCCCGCCCCAAACCATCACCTGCTTCATGGTCTATTAGAGAGCTGTCAATCACAGTAAGCCCCGCCCTAAAGCATCACCTGCATCATGGTCTGTTAGAGAGCTGTCAATCACTTTAAGCCCCGCCCTAAAGCATCCCTTGCTTCATTATCTGCTAGAGACCTGTCAATCACTTTAAGCCCCGCCCTAAAGCATCCCCTGCTTCATGGTCTGTTAGACACCTGTCAATCACTTTAAGCCCCGCCCTAAAACATCACCTGCTTCATGGTCTGTTAGAGAGCTGTCAATCACAGTAAGCCCCGCCCTAAAGCATCACCTGCTTCATGGTCTATTAGAGAGCTGTCAATCATTTTAAGCCCCGCCCTAAAGCATCACCTGCTTCATGGTCTGTTAGAGACCTGTCAATCACTTTAAGCCCCGCCCTAAAGCATCACCTGCTTCATGGTCTGTCAGAGACCTGTCAATCACAGTAAGCCCCGCCCTAAAGCATCACCTGCGTCATGGTCTAATAGAGAGCAAAGAGGAAGGCGTTGTCTCTCCGTATCATAGCAACCAGATGTAAAACCTTCCTGTAAAAAGCGCTTCGTGGACACAGACTCTTTGTGGATGAATCGCACTCGAGCGTCTTTGTGTTGTTTCCTCGCTGCTCGTCTCCTGATGGCTGAACGATAATAATCTTCCTCTTTCTCTCCCCTCTCTGCTTTCGCACCTCCGTGTCTTCTTCTGTGGTCTCGTCCAGAGTTCCCCGTCAACTTTTCCTTCTTTGATACCATTGAGAATTACTGTTAGTATTTATTCATTTAATGTTTGTTTGTCTGCATGAGGTGAAATGCAGCCGTCTGAGGCGTGACAGCAGACACACACACACACTCACACACACACACTCCGCTGTCCCCCTGTGTGCGTTCCTGTGTGTCCATTTGTGTTTGGTGACGTTTTATTTCCTCTGCTCTTTCCCTGCAATCATCTCCCTTCTCTCCATCAGTTAAAGGTCGTGTCTGATCTGAGCCACATGTTTATATCCATGACCTTAAAGGCTGAGACGTGTCCCTCTGGCGTCCACACTGGAGGCTCATGGGCACGAAGGCAGAGACGCGGCCCGAACCTGAGCTGCTAACGGTTCAATCGGCTTGTTTTCAATAGACACAATTTGCTGAAATGCAAATATATAATATATATATGTATTTATATTTGAATCACTGAACAATAGTTTACGTCCAGTAAAGTGTAGTTCCAAAGCGTAAAGCACCAGACCTCCAAATGAAGTCATAATAGTTGGTTTGAGCTTCTTTTCATGTATCACCAAATATATTTGCAGAAAGTCATACAGAAAAAACCTATTTTCATTCAAACATTAACCTAAAATATATTTCTGAATTCGCACCTCTTTATGTTGTAAAAGCTTGAAGTCTTTGCTTTAATTTAGTGGTCCGATGTTTCGCTGAGTGCAACTCAATGAAAATTAGAGAATTTCTGAAATCTTTATTTAATATAAAAACAGGTTTACGTTTCAGTCTTTATCAAATAAAGCGATCCTACAGAAAGTAGCCTGGAAGTCATTTTACCTTAAGTGGTCAATTCCTTTGTACGGTGTAATATGACATGTTTCTTCCCTTTAATTTCTCATTAAATGTGTAAATATCCCATTAAAGCAGCGTAGTATATAATTAATAATGAGCCCTTTGTTGTAGCTTCAGTTATTAGAACTTTGAGGTTTTCTTCCTCTCGGCTTCTTCTTCGTCTCTCGGGCGCCGCCCTGTTGCCCCCCCCCCCCCCCCTCGTGTGCTGGTGGTGCTCGCCCCGTGATGCCCCTCCCCCCTCACTCACCCCCCCTCTCCCTCTGGTTGGTCGGGTTCCACAGGTGGCAGCAGCGCCCAGGTGAGCTCCACAGAAGAGGAGGCTCATGGGTAATGCGGCGCTCACCTGCTGCAGGAGATTCTTTAACCAATGAATCATTGTGGCTGAAACGTCGTTATTGGACCAAACTGGAGCCAGAGATTTTATTTCTTCTTTAAATTCCTTTTATTTGATTTTAATCACAATTATTTTATGCTGTTTTATACACTTTATGTGTAGATGAATAAATATAAATGTATTTTGTTTTAATTCAACATGTTTCTCCAGGTTTTATACTAAACTGTGTGTGTGTGTGTGTGTGTGTGTGTGTGTGTGTGTGTGTGTGTGTGTGTGTGTGTGTGTGTGTGTGTGTGTGAACACGCCTCTGAATGAACCCTTTTGTTTGTACATTTATTAACAATGTATAATTTATTATTTTACTGCAACAACACGGTAAAATAAGATCAACTCTAAAGTTTAAAGGAGGCTGAAAGAAGAAGCGACCAGTCGTTTTAATTTGCCGATAACCGTCAAATCGTTTACTTCAGTAAAAGTCAAATGACGGCTCACTAAACCGTACTGCTAGTATTTAAAAGTATTAATACATCAGTGACGTGTTTCATTCATATTCATCCTGCATTCATGTTGCACGTTAACTCCTTCATGTCCTTTTATTTAGCTTCATCTTCATCATTCTATTTGTGATAAACTGAAGGATGAAGTGATGTTTTTTCTGGGCAGGAAGATGAAAAACTAATCTGAGAAGAAACTAAAGCGTCACACGAATATAATAAAAGTCAAATATTTACCTCTGAGAGGTTCATTTGTAAATTAACGTCAAATATAAAGTGCTGCAGTGAAGTACCTTGACTTTCCACTGGAGTGCAGTACTTGTACTTGTACACCAGATGTACTCTGTATTCTGTTTCTTTCAGCGCAGCAGGACAAGTTTTAAAATGAGCTTCAGCGCCGTCGTCATGGTTACGCTCTTTGTCCCCCAGAGACTCGTCCTGGAGTATAGAGTGGATTTTATTTTATGACCCTTTTCCTTTCTTTGTTGCAATGAGTTCATTTGGTTTCAGGAGACTGAATGTATATAATATAATAATAAAAAGATAATCCCGACTGCTGATGGAGAGAAATGTTTGTTAATATCTGACCGTTTACAGCAGAATGAGGACGTACTTTATTGGGATCATTTCTTTCAGGTACAATAACGACGTTATTAAGAGATTTAAAGTTAAAATCGTTCCTCTTTCTGTTTGATCTGATTTTTTGGGACCGTTGCTGCTGCCTGTGTTTTATTTTGGCGGTGCGTTGAGAGACTCCATCACATTTAACACTTTCAATACTCAAGTTTCTTAGTAATAAACTCCAGCCTGTTATAAAATACGTGCTTGTTGTTTGTGTGTTGTTGTTGCCACGGTGACGCGGCCCAAAACACCACAAGGCGACTTCAGTAGGATATTTACTGCAGGATGAAACCTTCAAGTTGCACCTGAAGCACCGAGCTCAGTAGTTTGTGTTGTTTGGAGACGACTCTGCGTTAACGTTCATACGGTTAATAAACCAAGTTATTTATTACTTATTTGTTTGTTTATTACAAACTTTGTCAACCAGCTGTAACACAGATGTTTTCTCTGCTAGTGACAAAACAAGTAAATACATATAAATAATATGTAAATAGTACAGCATGTTTAAGAAGGATCATAGTATTTCATGTCAAAATAAACAATACAGCATGTTTATATTATGACGTGTTTAAAAATGTACAGTTGTTTCCAATAAAAGTCATTTATTAACATTAGAAACATACAATTATATTGCTGTTAAGCCAAAGTAATACGTGGACTAAATGTTGTACTATTATAGTGAATAAAAACACAAGTACTGATATTATCTGTCAGGATATTAAACATTTTCTTCAGAAGTTTGAATCATTAAAAAAAGCTGATTATGTGAAATTATTTCTTAGTTCACTGAACAGATTCTGAAAGATTAAGTTAAAATTGTCTTAAAAAAGAATTCGACATTTAAAGTGTTTCCCCTTGTTGTTATTAGCGTGAGTGGAAATGAAACACACACATAAGGACACATTTATCTCACATGGGGGCAGACGAGCATTTTATAAAACGTCTTCTTGAAGATATAAAGATGAAGATTAAAGCCTAATTAGGAGCCGATATCTAAACGATGATCTATTGATTCAAGGAGCACAGCAGCATTAAGCTGAGCTCCTTCACACGTCCACCTGAGTCCCAGAGAGCTGTGGACCCCCCAGAGTCCAGACCAGCTCAGGTACCCCTCACCTGCTCCACCTGCATCTACACCCACATGAACCACCATCAGCTGTGTGACAGAGAGGAAGGTTCTCCACCAGGAGGAGACTCTCCCTCCTACAGAGAACACAGAGACACTGAGGAACCAGAACCGGACCAGAACCCAAACCCAAACCCAAACCCAGGATAAAGAGGTTCAGTGGATGTGGTGCTGAAGGTGCGGAGGTGGATCAGTGTGTCAGAGGAGACTCTGTAGAAGGACAGAGAGCCAGCAGGACAGTCCACATACACTGCTACTCTACCAGAGGAGGAGGAGGAGGAGGAGGAGGAGGAGGAGGAGGAGGAGGAGGAGGAGGAGGAGGAGGAGGTGCGTGTTTCTGTCTTATTGTGACGGACAGAGTAACCTTTATCAGAGCAGCTCAGACTCCAGGACTGATCATTGTCTCCAAACAAACAGTCTTCACTGCCTTCTTTCCTATTGATTCCTCTGTAACTCACTGATACATAAACTCTTCCGCTCCACTCGACCTCCCAGTAACAGCGACCAGTCAGACCAGTTCTACACAGCAGCTGATGACAGAAGTCAAATCTGTCTGGATGATCAGGATACGACTGATCCTCCATCACATATGTCACCTTCCTGTTGTTGTCAGACAGTTTGAGTTGTTTGTTTACTGTGTTTGTGTCGATTGTGAGTTCACAGGAATCTGATGAGAGAACAAGACACAAAACAGCTGCAGTTATTAATCATGTGTTCATCTACTGACACGTTGATGATGACATCACAGAGGTGAATGAGTGATGTCACAGTGTGAAGATGGTTGAATCTTCATGAATCAAAGCACACTTACACTTCCTCAGACCTGGTGTCAACCATCCGACTCCATCAGGCTCCACCCTGAAAGGAGGAGGGGGGTCAGAGCAGCATGGAGACATGGACATTACATCACTCTCACACACAGCTTTGTCCTTCATGTCCACATGGACCACCTCTTCTTCTTCTACCACTACTTACAGACGACCACAGACTGTCAGTCAGGCGTCACACAGCGACGAGGTGCTGGAATATATTCATGGAATAAAGTAGATAAATGTGGAATAAATAATAAACGGACCTGTCACTGTACTTTCACCAGATGGGAATTAAAATGTGAGAAATGACGTCGTGCTGCAGATGAAGCTTCATGGGACGTGTGCAAAGGAACATTAACATTAAACCGTTTAATAAGCAAATATTCACTAAATATAGAAATAAAGACCATTCAGTATTTACAATGTTTCACAATGAACAAACAACACAAACAAAGAGAAGAAACGCACTCGTTAGTTTATTGAATTCACTGTTTGGTTTTTCACTCATTCACTTCCGTCCCGTTCTGCACTTTTACTGTGATATTACAGAACGTCCTCATGTAAATACACTCAAGCATCTGCAAACGGGTCGGCGTGTGGATTCAAGCCAAAGGTGTGATCATTGAATGTACTGTAGTATTCAGTCAGGTCACAGGCTGCTGATCATAATAGTACTATTATAATATAGTACTTTGTGTTCTCAGCGTGTCGAGGTGCAGAGTTACTAACGATTGTCACGTCATCAGCTGTTGTGTCAACACGCCTCATATGGTTTACAGGAGTAATCACATGATGTAGAGACAATGTCTTCATTAGAGTCAAAGGGACACAAGGACTGTTCATTGATGTTCACCCTCCAACACTGATGGACATTCAAGTAAAGGTAAGAAATACAACTTTAATATCACTTGTGATCATTTCAGCATTGATACAGTTTGATATCAGCTTTGTCTTCATTTGATTTGATCTCGATTCCAATTTAAAGAGCCGCTCTGATTTTAATGTGACGTTCTGAAAAGGTTGAATAGATTTGATCTCAGTGGTGGAACTAGATTGTATTTAAATGTCAGATAAGTGGGTTATTATTGCTTTAGGCTTTGAGTTAAGGTCCATCGTCACTACTAGTTAAAGTTTGAATGGTATTCAACGTTTAAACATAAGATTGATTATTGATTATCATTGTGACTTTAGACTTTTACTTTCTTAACTTGAATTTCATTTTGCTTTTATGGATTTTCATTAGACGTTTATTTTAGTTTCCTCTTCTCTCTCCTGTGGCAGCGTTTACACCCTAAAAGTTTCATCTCAGCTTTGTGATTCTAACATTGAGTTGGATTGATTTTTAATTTGCTGAAAGCCGTAACTAGTTTGAGATGATCTGCGGTTTAGTTTGATTTGTACTGACGGCGTTCTGATCCGTGTTGTAGTTGTTATGTGACTCAGTGGTTTGATGGACTGGTTCCCTTTCAGGTCCACTGCTTTACTTTCCATTGCTGAGTTCACTTTGTTGTTTGGTGTTTTGCAGGTTTCATTAGTTTGACTTTACATCATTAGTCGTCTCCTCACAGTCAGTGACAGAGTAGCTCCTAAAGGACAGGAGGACATCTCAGGGGGGTTTAGATGCACCAGGTTGCATCATGGTCGTGTTTACAACTCAGGACCTGCTGAGTAGCACCAGAGAGAAGATGGAGGAGCAGACGGAGGCCAAAGGAAGAGAAGCAGTGGACGGACTTGAGAGGCACGGAGTGAGGAAGCAGCTGAAGACACTTGTGAACATCAAGATGTCTGCA